CGGAGAAACAGACCCACGCCCCATGTTGGTACATGGGCACATGTTGGTACATGTTGGCACGTGGGCACCTGGGTGTAAACTTCCGTTATTCATCTTTACTTTGTCTTACTTGTGAAGATTCAAAGAGCTTTAAATCAACAGTTTCGTTGGGCAGATATGCCTGTCTCTCCAAGGCATGACACCCCCATGCCCAAACCAGAAAAATCTTTGTGTTCGAAGGTAGAGGTTATTTCATTAACCGGAAAAGAGTGAGAATCCTTCTCGGAGCCTTCTTCTTGGAAACCCGATTTATCATCACACACACAAGGCTGAGATTTGTGGATTGTGGTTCAAAGCCTGCCTGAGCAGGAAACTCTGTGAGACTCTTATCTCCACTTAAATAATAATAAACATTTAAATAATAAAATAATAACCATTTAAATAATAATAATAGCTCTGTCTCAAGTGACAGCATGCTAACCTAGAGCAAAATAAAAATGCTAAGGGACAGTGCCCAGGCCCTAAGTTTAAGCCGCTCCAATACTGGCACACACACATACACACCCAACTTCAGGTGGACTATTAGAAACAAATAGTATGATTCGACCTAGCCCCCTCAGGTTAACCTGGACTCTGCAGTATGGCATTACACATAGGCCGGCCCAAGTCTTCAAGATGCCCTGGTCTTTAATTGACTTCTCAACCAAGCATCTGCCTTGAGACAAAGCCTCGAGGGATCTAAAGATGATTATTTGTAGGAAAATAATCAATGCTGTTTTAACTTCACAGGAAAACAAATTTTCATGGAAGAAGATACACACACACACACACACACACACACACACACATTAATTCCTGGGCTATTCTTCTGGAGACTGGTGTGAAATAAGAATTTGAAAGAGCTCTTCTTAAGTCTGACTGGAGGAGGATTCAGGGAAAACAGCAGCCCACAGGAAAGCCATTTTGAAACCTCTTCTCTAGAGGCCCAGCTTGGAATGCATGTGTGGTGGGGGATGGAGAGGAGGGAAGAAGGGGGAGCCAGAGCAAATGTCATAATTTATCAAAGCAAATTAAAACTCTTCAGCTAGTAATTAAAGGTCCTCATTAAGCAGCTCTCCCCCCCTCCCACCCCCCACCCTGCGTGAGCAATAAAAATGCACGGGGGCATGCAAAGGTCGCCTACAAAAATCAATAACTTGCCATTTTATAATTAAAAGAGAAAATAAATGTGAGGGAAAAGTCCACTAAATTAGGAAAATTACCTTTAGGAGAGATTGAAAATATTGATTTTAATTTACAAAATATGTGAACTTTTCATGCCCCATTCGGAGAGACAATCGGAGTCTGGGTGGTTAATTCTGCATAAGCTTCAGAAAAAAATCAATAATTAGGTTGTGGGAATATTATGAAATTTGTCATTAACATACCATCTTCTATATAGAAATGAACCATACGTCTAGCTTTTCTATCTTGGACAGAATCGGGGTTGGCCTACAGAATATCCAAAGTGAATCAATGACAAGGTCTTTGCTTCAGCTTTCAGACAGACTTCACAATTGCAAGATAAATCCAGACTTTAAAAAAAAATATGTAGCTAGGGGAACTTAAACTGCTACTTAAACTTTCAGTCCTGGGTATATAAATGCATACATAGTATTAATAATTATGCCCAAGAATACAAGTGGATAAACCGCTAGTCATCTTCTTAACTTTGCCTATAACTTTGTATACATACAGGTGCTGGAAGCAGTTGATTGGAGCTGGCTGGATTAAGTGTTTGTGGATTAGCGAATATCTCAGAGAAATTGCCGGGGCATGAGGAAATGGCAGTGACATTTCCCTACTTGTCTTATTATCATGGCATCTGCCTAACTCCACGTATAAATGCTGAGGTGGAAGAGGAGCATCTGGTTAACTGGGATAATCCAAATATAGGCAACATAAAGCACAGATATACAGATTTCGTGAATAATACTTCCTCTCCTTCCTCTTCTTCCTTCCTTCCTTCCTCTCCTTCCTTTCTTCCTTCCTTCCTTCCCTTCCTTTCTTTTTCCAGTCAGTGGGGCCTGAACTCAGGGCCTGGGCGCTATTCCCGAGTTCTTTCACTCAAGGCTGGTGCTCTACCACTTTGAGCCACAGTGCCACTTCTGGTTTTCTGGTGGTTCATTGGAGATAAGAGTCTCATGGACTTTCCTGCCTGAGGCTGGCTTCGAACTGTGATCCTCAGATCTCAGCCTCCTGAGTAGCTAGGATTATAGGCATGATCCACTGGCACCCAGCTCTCTCATCTTAGAAAAGTTGTTTTTAACAACTTGAATTCATTAGAATAGCCCATAGGGATGACTTTTGGTTGTTCAGGCTCCTTAAAATTTCTCCAGACACAACTAATTATGACACCCGACTTACTGTAGTGATGGTAATTTGTTTGAGTTGAACATGTGACCACAGGACACGGCTGAGAGGAATTATGACTCAATATCTCCCTCTCTTTTCTATAAATGTATATTTATAAAAATATAACTCAGGCTCAGAGATAAGCAAAACAGGATTTCCACATCTGTCTTGCTTCTGACCAACTGTGTAATCACAAACCCCTGGCTCAACCTTTTACTTCTGTACCTTTGTTTCTTCGCCTGTACCATTGCCACGAGGACTGAACTCATTTAGCTAAAGAGCTTAGCAAGGTGCCTAAGTCTTCACTGCAACATTACCTTCCTAATTTACTCTCCACTTGCAGCCCATGGCCCCCACGGCTGACACCAAGCCCTGGGCTAATTTGAGTTGCCGTTCTGATGCTCTACAAGGAATGCAGATCCATTTATTCCCCTGTAAGTCAGACCTATTCAACACCCGCAAACATACGCATGACATAGTTGGTATTTCTCCGGGTAACAGAGCCAAGAATGAATAGCAGCAGCCTCACTGCACGAGACTGGGAAAACGACAGGATTCTCTCTCACGACTCCCACAAGGCAGACTTCCTGCTGCTTCTCCTTGCCCTCAGGATTCTGGGGAGCAAAGCTGCACACAGCAGCTCGGGAACCCCTGTCCTCCCCACACGCACACATGGAGAGACCTGGCACCTCCCCAGGCCAGCTGTTCCCTGCGGACAGCATCTGCAGAATCAGATTCTAACTTCACCACTGCACTATGGGGGGACTCTTACGTCTCTTCAGCCTTGGACAAATGCATCCCACCGATACCCAGTGCCCCCTGGACAGACAGACAACCGGGCCCTGATCCCAGAAAATCACCCCTGGAGTGGACACGCGAAGAATTACAAACCTAGCCTTCTCATGAGTTACAAGAAGAAAAAAGAAGCAGCCCCCGCCTCTGTGTCAAAGTTGATGCTCAGACCCGACACGAATCGGCTCTCCTCTAGTCCTCCCCCGCCCCCATCTCCCCAAAGTGGGGCGTGAACTTAACATTGTACTTAGTGTTGCGTAGGCAGCCAAGTCCTCCTATATGTATATATTAATCCCTTGGATTCTAATAAATACCTTCATCATCCCATGGGAGGAAACTGAGGCACAGAGAGTTCAGGTGACTTTGTCTAGAGCACAGTGCTGGCTAGGAAGGGAGTCAGGATTCAAGACAGGGCTGTCTGGGTGCGGTTCCTCCATTGCTCACCTTGCTGTCAGGGAGAGTCTCACAGCTGAGCTCTCCTTCCCCTGTGTGAACGCAGCTCCACAGCAGTGGCGCCATCTTGAATTTCATCTAAGACTTGGTGAAGATGAGCTTACTCACATGCTGACTTCCTCACATCTAGAATTCAGGTTCACACGCTCTCCTACCCACATTTACCCAACTAGTATTATTAATTGGGTTTGAACCCAGGGCCTCTTGCATGCTAGGTAGTTAACTCTAGCTCTTGGGGCTACACCCCCATACCTTTTTGCTTTATTATTATTTTTTTCAAATAGGGTCTGATGTTTTGGACTGGGCTAGCCTTGGACTTCAATCTATTTCTACCTCCTGAGTTACTGAAATGATGGGCATGACCATCATACCCACCTTGTTTGGTCAGACAATCTTGCTAGCTTTTGCCCAGGCTATACTCAAACCATGATCAGCCCATCTTGGCTTCCCCTGTGGCTGGGATTACAAGTAGACCAAGCCACGTCCAGCCTCCAAATATTCAGTTTTTGCAAATTGGATTTTGCACTGTTTTATCTGTCCCTTTCTCTTCTTCCGGGGTTGACGCTTTGTCTCAGGGAAAAGACAAGGAGTGTAGCACTCCAGGAGGACAGCTTAGCATCCCGAGATCACTTACTGAGGAGCGTGGAATAAACTAGTTAAGATTCTTCCCTCCCTTCATGGGCTAAGTCTGCTGCCGGGGCTCTAGATATTGGGAGCAGCCTGACCCTGAGCTTGGAGACCTCAGGCAATAGGGAGAGGCAAGCCCTGCTCATCAGGACTGGGAATCTCAGCCACTGCTGCCTCCAGATTCTCCTCTCCCTGATCTGTTAGCTGAGTTGTTTTGTTTTCCCCTAAGAGGGTTGATTTCCCAACAAGGCGCGGAGAGAGACAAATCCTCAAAGCAAAGCAGAGAGACATGAACTTGCTAAGGGAAATGATTTCACAGAGCCAAGAAAGACCACTTTTGAGTGTCTTTTTTTTTTTCCCTCCTTCTAGTTTTCAAAATCATCCTTGGTTTGGCCGAATCATGGCCACGTGCTCGGAGGCCTTAGCCAGCTCTCTGCTTTGCTCGGGAAGAGGGGAAAAGGCAACCCCACGTGGAAATGCGTAACGAAAGACACATGCAGGCACACCAAGTACAATGGGCGCAGACCATCCCCTCCGTTGCATTCAACAAAGCCGGATGCTCTCCTTTAGGGCAAAGCCACTGTGGAGCGTTGGTTGTGAGAACAGGGATCCATGCTCACCTCACAGTGGACTGGCTCTCTCATCTACGAACTGGTTTTAAATACCCTTGTCTTTGCCCCAAAGAAACCACCCAGACAGGCAAAGCACATTTAGCAAAGACTAGCATTCCTGCATGCAGACAGCAAATTCCTTACCTGCATAGAATTCAGGGCTGTAGACTGCACCCACCACAGGATTCAATTTCCAGCCTTCAATCAAACACACAGAAGCATTGTCATCAGCTTTGATGCAAACATTTATCCCTGTCAAACCACCGTCATCCAGAGAGATGGGTTGAAGTATTATTTTTTCAAGTCTTTTAATTTTTTTTTTTTGGCCTGTTGGTCATGGGACTTGAACTCAGGGCCTGAGGTATCCTTGAGCTTTTGCAACCAAGACTACTAGTCTTTACCACTTTGAGCCACGGCTCCACTTCCGGTTTTCTGGTGGTCAATCAGAGATTAAGAGTCTCACAGACTTTCCTGCTCAGGCTGGCTTCAAACTGTGATCTTCAGATCTCAGCCTCCTAAAGAGCTAGGATTATAGGCACAAGCCACTGGCATGTGGCAAGTCCATCTATTCTAGAAGCATTGTTTTGTAGTGCCAGAGCTTGAACCCAGGGCCTCTCGTAAGTGTAATTTAAGTGCACTAGTCTGTCTATCTATTTACCTGTCTGCCTAGCTATTTATCTCTGGATATCTATCTATCTATCTATGGATATATATATCCATATATACATGCATACATACACATTTTATATATATTACTAAAGTTAAAAGACACATAGATTGAGCATTGCATGCATAAAAATATTCAGAAACTATATGTAAAAAATAGATTCTTGCTCCTCTTTGATTTTTCTCTCAAGGCAAGCTAATGGAAAGGATCCACTGATTAGGTACAGGTAAGCCTTTTAAAATGACGTAATTAATCTCCTACCATAGCAATCGTTTTAGAACCACTATAATAATTTCAGTTTTGTCTTCTTTCACATGTCACCGCTCGATAATCCATCACAAGTCTTTTGCATTAAATTTATACGAATTTGGAAACTTGCACAAACAAAACTCTCTGCTGAAGTTCACTGTACCTATTATCTTTCCTAATGATTACTCTGAGATACGGGGGAATTCTGAAGTGCTGTTGGAATACTAAAGAAAATGGTTTTTTTGTTTTTTTAATCCCCTGGAGATTTAGCATGGAATACATTTTAATGCATCCAGGGACCATAAAAATCCTTAATCAATGCATGATATCTAAGGTAACTTTCAAATAATCGGCCTATGAGATTAACAGTCTGTGATTCTCCCAAATAGAAGATAGAAAAAGTTTCTTTAAAGGGCTCATGGCTCTGACACAGGAAGAGAGCACGTAAGAGTGTTCACGAAGACCTTGCTTTTTTTTTGGGAGGGGGGGTAGGGAAACCATTTTTAAGGAATGATGGTATCTGAAGATCTATGGCTGTTTTCCCTCCCAGATGCTGAGGAATCTTTATGGTAGCGCTCATTATGGAAGTCGTGAACCTCACAGTGGGGTAGGGCTCCTATGTAGCCCTTGTATCCTTGGGCCGAGGGCCAGATATCAAAATGCCCTTTGATGAATGTTCTGGAGAAAAGAAGTGGGTCCACATTCACGTGAGTCACAGAACGCCTCCCACAGTGAGGACCCAGGTTCACCGTGTGGGCCAGGTATGGCTTCCTAAATCCTGTTCTTCTGAGAACAGCGAAGAGGAACCCAGAGACATAATAGCCCAAGAGGCTATTTTGCTTCATATAGACATCTCCTTTAGCACACCGCCTTTTGTAATATAAACCTGGGGCACAATGTTCTCCAAATGGGGATCTCTTAATGATGTGTTAATGATCATGGTAGGCCTATTAGCCTAGAAGCATTTCTAAGAAGAGCCTATGACTGTAGAGATCACATTTGCCTTACTTGCTTATATTCCTTGTTTGTTCTGGACCAAGCAGTCTGTGTATGTCTGTATCACATCTCTTGGCCTTCCCCCTCCCCTCCTTTCCCCATCTCTATCCATCTACCCTCCTATCCATCTACCTATCTACGAATCATTCTACTTTGGTCTCTGATTTCTTCGCAGAACCTGTCCCTTTCATTCCTTCTCTTAGTTGTCTTTGGTTCAATTCCCAGCTCTATTTTCGTTAACGTGACCTGTGAACTCTGCTCCAGCGTGAATCCCCCGCACCTGAAATGGTTCAACAGATACCTGGTGCTCTCTATCAACACTGACTCAATTCTGTTCTTAAAAAGCAGAAAACAAAACCTAAACCAAAAGGAGCACAGAGCGTTTCCTGTGGAATGTTTTCCGGCTAGGATTCTGGCTCCTTCCCCTCTCTGAGGAAGCTCAGTCCTGATCCACAGATGCTCGGCATCCAACGCAGGATTCTGCTCTGAGAGTCTGTCTTCCACCGAAGGCAATGAGAAGCTAGCCCTTGAAAATCACCTCTGCTCAAGGCTTGCTCGGGCTTATGCAAATGGCATGCAAATGACATGCAAATGGGTGCCTCACTTTTGTGACTCCTAGAAGTACCTGGAAGAGCCCCTTGGGATGAGCCTGCTGAGGGCTGAGCCTGCCATTGTCAGGAAGATGGACAAAATGATCCCATTTTTTAATTTCTTAGGCAGCGAGCGTTACATCCCCAGGCTTTGCAAATTCCAAGATTTTCGATCAAGGACATTAAATTGAACAATGAGGCTTACAACCGAATGAGAAACGCTGATAGAGCCCATCACTCCCAGCCCCCTCCCCACCCCCCGTCTCCCCATGAAGGCAATGGAGCAAAGCCCAGACATGCACATGGGATCTTGCTCGATATCAGATGCACAGCAGTTCAGAGACCTCTCGGAGGCTGGGCCTCAGCCGGGGACTGGGCGTGGACTGGCACACCGAGCACATCCCTGCACCCCACAAATTTAGCTTGCCCACCTTCCCCCGCAACACAGGTCATGGGTCTTCAGCCATCTTTGGAATCATGTTGGCCTGTGGTACGTATTGCTGCAGTGGGTGTTCAAAAGCACACCCAGAAACCCTCCCATGGCCTCCTCCAGGGCTCTGCTGCTGTCGAACGTTCCAGAAACTGCCCTGGAGAACACTGCACACAGGATGGTGATCTCCTCATCCAAGAAGATGCACAGTGGTCGGCTGGGTGGCATCTCATGCGGGCCGGGGCGGGTGGGAACACCTGGGTCTTTACCCAGCGTGAAAGGCCTCCCTTTGCGTTATCTCAACCTGGCCTCGGCTCCGTGGCTGCGTCAAGTGTGTGGTAGCAACTGTCTACGCTAGGGGCGGGTGCACCCCGGGTTGCTGGGGCTGAGGCAAATGGCGAGCAGAAAACAAGAGACTCAGATTCCAGTGTGGGCAGCTCAGTGGCAGACCTTTAGAAGTGCAGAGCAAATGGACTTTCCCTTTCCCAAATAGGTAGCCATTGGAAGAAGGAAGAAAATAAAATAAAGCGACTACTAAATTGCTTACAGAAGTCAAACCAACACCACGAGCAAACTGATTGTCAGTCAGTACCTAAGTGCTTCATATGAAATCACTTGATGAGGGGTTTTGAGAATACACTCAGACTCTGTTCTTCTTGTGGAACTCAGTCACAAGCACCTTCTAAGTACCTTCCAAAGCTTAGTCACCTGGGAGAAGATTCAAAGCCAGAGCCAAATCGTCTGAGGATGAATGACTGTGGCCAACAAGGGGCCATCAGTAACAAAGGAAACAAATCAGACCTCCACCGCCTGTGCCAGCTGAACACCACACTCGCCTTTGTTGAGAGAGTGCCCTGGTTAAGTCACACAACAGATTGAGGGATGGGGTGGGTTTCCTGCACCCGGGCTTTCTCTACTTACCATTCGTGTAGGGGTTGACGGTCTTTTTATTTGTCATTACCCGTGCAGTGGCGTTATTTACCTATGTGCACAGAAACATCAAGTGAGGACAGGTGCTAAGCCCAGCCTGATATTCTATTAGTTGCATGCATTATGACTGTGGTTATTTATTAAAAAACAAAAACAGAAAACAAAACCGAGAAGTAAAAAAAAACAAAACAAAACAAAATAAAAACCAAAAAGCATTTGTTCAATTTTATTTTTTTTAAAAGGCAGTAGGTGCATAACAAAAATCATACATTTTTTTTTCGGGTTTAGAATTACATTTAGCTTCATCACCATTTCGACTGACAGATCATTTCAGTAAAGCAATGTCACCTCGTTTGTACAGTTTAATCAAGAGACAGTTACAAAAAAAAAAAAGAAAGAAAGAAAAAGAAAAAAAAAGAAAAAAGCAAAAGCAAACGAAAAGAGACTGTAGAGACCAAAAAGCATGCTTCTATTCTGTGGTGACACAGAAAGGATCAATCGGGGTGTTTTTTTTATTGTTGTTATTTTTATAAACAAACAAACAGAAATTAAGTTCACATGGAAGGCCATGCAGTGGAGGAGAGAGAGAGGAGACAAGCTACATCAAAAGAAGAGACAAAGGAGTTTAAGCCGTGTTGCAACACTTGGGGGGGGTGAGAAGAAGCGACATCTAAGCATTCAACACTGGGAACAAGAGCTTCGCTCATAGCAAGGAGGGCGGGGGGGGGGGTCATTCAAGCTCCCGTGTCACAGCTAAGGAGAGGAACATGGGAGAGAGGGTGCATCGTGGTCACACGGAATGGAGTTTAACGACCTGAGTAGGATAATGATAATCCAACCAGTCAGAACCTCCCAGGCTAGCTTCAAACCGACACTCAAAATTACAAGGCGGACCGATATCCAAAAACACAATAAATAAACTGAAAAGAAACAACAACAACAACAAAAAAAAACCCAAAAAAACAAAACAAAACCAAACAAGAGCACCAAGAAAACTTAAAACAACAAGTTGGAAAAAAAAATTCACGTGGTAGGTAAGAGCTATAGAGAGAGAGATCAATGTAGAGAGAGAGAGATCAGCACTAAGTACGGGGAAGCGGCAGGTGGACAGCACTTACCATTCTGCGGTTTGTGTACATTTACCAGGGTTACTGAGAGTTTGGTGAGGGGCCTAGCGTTACGTCCAAGGGAGGGGAGGGGAAATGAAAAGGCAAAATATGCAACATCTTACTCCAAAGACTAAAGCAATTTTTCAACTGGTTTATAATTTTTTTAAAAAAAAAAGGTTTCTTTTTTCTTGTTGTTTTAAAACAAATATGACCCTGTGGCATCGCTGAAGGAGCTCTCTCAGTGGTACAAATAGTAGATCTGGAATCTCAGACGATGGTGACTAGTGATAGATTTTGCAATGCACAGGGCCCTGAGAGGCAAACTGAAAGCCCTGCACTGTGATTCTTGACATGACAAATAAATAAATAAACAAATAAATAATGCAAAAATTCAATTTGGTTTCTTATATATATTTTTTTAAATGAAAGATTTCATGGCAAAGCCTCTCACTTTTCCCACACCTCACTTTATTTATTTGTTTATTTATTTACTTATTTTGCAAGTCTTTCCGATGCTATGGCTTTCACCACATGGATGAAATGATTCATTTGTAGACCACTGCAGATCTCTCTCCAACCCTGACGTGAAGAACGGAAAACAAAACAAAACAAAATGACTGCCTTGCATCCGATTTGCTTTGCTCATTCTGGCTACTCTCTTTGGAACAACACCTTACTGCACCTGCCGCTTATCAAACGTGGAAAATAAAATGTAAAAAGCAAAACCGAAACCACAGTAAACTTGGCGATTCACCTTTTCTTTTTGTCTTACTTTTGTTATTCACCTTGCAGCGGTTAAAAAAAAAGAAAAAGACAACCACAAAAAAAAAAGAGTAAAACATAAAGTTAAATTTAAAAAACAGAGTAAGGCCAGTTTTCCTTTTTATATATATAAAAAAATATATATATAATGTATATATTATATATATAAACAATGAGAAAGGGGGTGGGGGAATCACATACAAGACACCAGTGATGCATCTACAGGAAACAAATGAGCATGGAGCAGACATTTATCAAAAAAGATGAAAGGGAAAATATTTTGAACATGCACCTCGATTTTACGGCCCTCTACCACGGTGCCGTGTAATTTCTCCCTCGCCCTGTCCGCATCGGCACTATTTTCGAAAGTTACGAAACCAAATCCCTGCATGCAGGAGTAAGAAGGGAAAACAACATGCACATTATTATTTCAATCAACAACCACGTGGTAACATTCTCTTGCTTTAATTTCTATGTCTTGTCCTGGCTTCCGTTCTGTAACATGCAAATTAGAGAAATTATAATAATACATAGTGCAATAATTAAACGACTAATGTCAACAAGATTGGTTGGTTTGGGTGTTTTTTTTTTCTGTCACCGGTTAGCTAATAACCTCTAAAAAATTCAACCAATGATATTCAAAATACCCCCTTTCTAAATGTCACTACCCAAACAGAAATATAAATCTAACCAAAAGAAAACGAGATCAAAATAAATGTACACTGTATTCACAGAAGAAACGAAAGAACAAGAAAAAGAAAGGAAAAAAAGGAAACCACTTTCTTGACATGCAAATTAAGAGATAAAATGAAATAAAAATGTGTGCACGAAATCCAACCATGAATGCCAAAATCCTCTAACATTGCCTAGAGAGTCATGCTTGTGTGGTTTTTAAGAACATTTCCTCTTCATGCAATCTTAGGGTTATTCAAATTTGTCCATTTTACAGCCTTTACTTCTCAAAAACAAAAGTTACAAGCCTAAAAAAAAAAACAAAACAAAAGGAAAGACCTTTTTTTCCGTAATAAGTCTTAAACTCTTTGTGCTAATAAACAAACAAAAAAATCACATGAAATGAAGAGAAACAAACTTTCATTGACTTAGAATGCAAACAATTCAAGTAGCAGTTGTCATAATCCTTTTCCCACATAATACCCTTCATGCGTCAGAATTCAGTGAGTTTCCTTAAACAACAAGACCACATGGAAACATACTGCAGTGTTTTTAAGGTACTAGGCTGGTATTCATTTGTCATATCTGCAGGTAGGGAGACAAAATTCTTCAGGACTAAAAGGTGACTTAACAGGACTCTGAACATTTCCTGTTTTGCTAACATAATAAATAATACCCTTGAGTTCACCACAGGTACATTTTGCTTTTAATATTTCAGCCTCAAAAAAAAAACCAACCCCACTACATCTGACACAGTCATAATCCACCTCTGGTCTTCACTGACATGCACCTAAGAAGAGTGCAGAAAATATAACACATTATTTTTCAAAGCCTCTCAATGCCCCAGGACATCTTGTTCAGAAGCATATCCACCAACCATTTGAAACACCTGCACTGGAGATTTTGCTTGACTCCTTTTTTTTTGCTTTCCGGTACAAATTGGGTCAACTTTAGGAGTTCTGTCAACACTCTTATTTGCACTGGCCAACCTAACATAAAGGTGAGTAAACGTAAGCTTTGAGGTATTATGCCATTCCATTTAAATTTTTTTTTTTAGGAATAGAATCTGCAGTAATTTACAATAGTGTAGCAGTCATGAGCAGCTAGTATTGTCCCTCCTCCTCCCTTCCCTCCCCCATTTCCTCCCCAATCTCATAGACAGTCTCTATGACAACATGTAGAGATGTTGAGAGAGGGGTTGTACAGTGTGGGGGCTAATGGACCACTCTGTGCAGAACACAAGGTAAAGGAGATGTGTTCAGATGCAGATCGATGGTTCTTTGTTAAGAATGCCTATACAGAAAATAAAACAAGTTTCCTTCTTTTGGAGGCTTAGACTGAAGTAGCTTGTACCATCACTCCCAAGAGAGAGGGTTTGTGATTAGTCTTATCCAACTAATTGGAATGAATCAATTGATTAATTAATTGAACGATCCAACGAATACAAGCTCGCATTGTACACCACAGAAAGATCCCTGTTCTGTCTTTCTTGCTTATATTCCATGTCTAAATTGAGTACTCAAAAATATTTGCTGAGCAGTTTACGGGAACGGGGGTGGGGGGGTCAGGAGAGGGAGCAGCTGGGGCGGATCTCATTCTATTTGACCACCTCCTCTCCATCAGCAGATCCCGAACCTAGTCATACATCAGAAGGATCCGGAAGCATATTAAAAATTTAGATGCCTGAGCCCTGGTTCATTTCTACTGGGTAAGAATTTTTTTAATGAAAAGTCCTAAATTGTTTGGTCTGTAAAATTTGTCTGTGTAAGGGAGGGATTAGGGGCATGGTTCAAGTGGTAGAGCACCTGTCCTGACTTCAAACCCTAGTAGGACCAAAAAATAAAAAATAAATAAAAGTTGGATAAACCTGTCTGTGGGAGCCAGAAATTCGATTTTTCACCACCTCTAGTTTCCAAGGGGTCTTGGTAATGAAGTGAATTTTATCTTGCTGGTTTTGAACGAGCAATCTATAGGGTAGAGAGAGCTTAAGCTCAGTCATTTGGAACTTCTATGTAGTGGTAAAGCAAAGATGATGTGTAGGTACCCCATTTGGAGTCTTTTTGTGTGTGTACATCAGTTGTGGGGCTTGAACTCAGGACTAGGGTGCTGTCTCTGTGCTCTTTTGCTCAAGGCTAACACTGTACCACTTTTGAGCCACAGCACCACATCCAGTTTTTTTGGTGGTTTATTGGAGATAAAAGCCTCAGGGAATTTCCTGCCTGGATTGACTTTGAACCACAATCCTCAGAACTCAGCCTCTTGTGTAGCTAGAATTATAGGCATGAGCCACTGGCATGTGGCTCCATTTTGTGTCTTAAATAAAGGTTCTAAGGCTCCCTAGGTGGATGAATGCACAGATCTCTCATTTCCTATGGAGGGAAAAGAAACCAAGTCTTGTGTCTCTTGATTTTTATGAGAAGAACTATTGATAAAGGATCCAAAGATTCATTTTCTCATAGAGTAAGCACACCGCATCTCCCTTCCATCCTGTGAGTGTTACACCTGCAGGGAGATGTTGCCCAGAAATTCATATTCATCATTCAACTACAGCTCATGTAACCTTTCTAGAACCCTCTGCCTCCTAACCATAGGTCTGCGTGGGGCAGGAGTCTTACCAGACTTTTATTTTTTAAATATTGTGGAACACAGCGCATTTCACAGCAGTTGTTCATCTGAATAATCTGCATCTCCCTGAGGATGGGAAACACCTGTGAATGAGTGACCTGAAATGTCACAAGCGTGTATGAGCGTGCTGTGTGTGCATACGTGTGTGTGTGTGTGTGCATGCTGAATCGAATATTGAATTGCCTATTTCTTATATACATTAGGGCCTGTACGTGCATCTGTGTATATGCATCTCTACACCGAATAGTACATTTGTTTGGTATATTAGAATATGTGTGTATATGTGTATCTCTATACTGAATTGTGTTTCTCAGCTATATTGAATGAAATTCTGAATTGTACATTTCTTAGGTATATTGGTGTATATGTATTGTGTGGGTCTCTATGCTGAGTCAAGGAATGCATTGTACATTGTTTCAATATATTAGACTATGAGTATATGTGTGTTTACTGAATTAAATACTGAATTCTATATTTCTTAGATGTTTCAGCCAAGATCTAAATCTGGCTCTCTCCTTCAGATAAAGCACTTTGGAGATAACAAAGACAAACCATTCTGAATCTCCTGAAAGGGAAAAGAATACGAATGTTTAGGATCCTCCTATATCCCATCCAAGCATGATTATGCAGATGCAGCATCTCTCCTGAAAATGCAGTTTTCAGTGTGCTTGTTGCCTCTACTCCATGAGATACTTGGGTTTTACAGTGCCAGAATACACACAGGCAGGGAAGTGGCTTCACTGGATTTGAGTAACATGACCAGAAAGAAGGAATACTCAGGTGGGGAGAGAGGGAGGGGAGAAGGGAACATTGCCAAGGACTTTTTTTTTTCTGTATCATTCCTTTTCTTCTTAGCATCAGCTGTTATGCCCAATACACTGTGTTCCTTCCAGGGAGACCCGGATTGTTTTGTGGGTGCTGGAAGGAGAGACTTTTTAACAAGCAGGGCAGAGGTAGCAATGAAATGCCAGTGGGCACAAGCATCTCTTTTACCTGCTGATGAAGGGTTTGGTATCTGTGCAAAAGAGAACAGTCCTTGTGTTGTGTTAAGGGCTGGCTCTGAGAGGGTTGTTACAATGCAGATTCCTGGGCCCACGTTCAAAGTTTCTGATTCAGTAGATCTGGGTGGAGCTGCAGAGTGTGTCTCTTGAACAGCTTCTGGGTCCTGCTGAGGCTGCTAGTTTGGGACCTCTCTGTCCCCTTCTAAAGACAACCCCTGATTGACAGCATGCTTTGAAAGCTTTGTCTTCTTTTTTCCAATGTATTCTCTCTCTCTCTAAAAGCCCCCCACTTTCCTTAATTCTGTTAAACTCTAGGAAAAATCTCGATTTCTATCTGTCTTTTTAATTGATATCCTAGCACGATATGAACTCAATGGCCACAAGTGCCCTGCAAAAAGAGCAGGAGAGAACGCACTCATAAAATTCAATTCAAAAGGTTGGTGAATATGACCTTTTCCTCCCCTACCACCCAGAGAAAGAACTGCACTTGATTAATACAGAGTCATCCACATATTTACCTGCTCGTGAGACTAGCAACTCACTTTTTAAATGTAAAGAACATAATTATCACTGAAAGACAACAACAGAAACGTAGCAACAGCATCATGATTATTTTAAAGCACGGTTCATTTTTTCCCCCACTCTGGAAATTTGAGAGATGCATACAATCCATATAAGACAGCCACTTTCAATCACCCCTTTACACGTGTTCTCCGTGGAGCCCAACACATTTCTCCCGCCATTTTGGAAACAAAGAGGAGGTCTCTAGAAGAAATCCCGTGGTGGGGGGGGGGCTTGTCTTCACAGCCATCTGATTAAAGCAGTGCAGTTGTTTCCCTTGTTTACAACAAACATGTTTACAACAAGCCAAGGGATTCTGAGGTGGATAAGTCACTTACCTTGGAGCCTCGCTCATTAAAAATAATTTCAACATCTAAGATTTTACCAAATTGCTGCAAAGAAATAGAAATATTTTGTGAGCAAAGAGGAGGGGGGGGAAACAGCAAATAAGACATAATGATGAATACTGTTATTCCTCCCTTGTTTAATATTAAGAAGATACGTTTCATATCGTTCTGTGGTTAAATAATTTGCTTGAAACGAGATAGAACAGCCATATGGGCTATGTTCTGATTATGACATCTCCCACCAGGGTGAGATATACTGTTGCAGTCTGTTAGTGTGTGTGTGTGTGTGTGTGTGTGTGTGTGTGTGTGTGCGTGCGTGCGTGTGTGTGTGTGTGTGTGTTCACTTTCCCAGACACTGAGCAGCAGAGGTTAAAAATGGCACATCACTACTTAGATAATGATTCACCTAGACTTCCCCACCAGCCCCTAGGAGAAACACTTTCATTGAGGTTAAGATTGGGCTAATAAAATATCCAATCAGAACAAGATGTTGTGGGTTTGGGCTCCTCACTCACAGATTACATACAGGAGGCAAGTAAAATTCCAACATAAGATCAACCTCTGTGACCCAGGTACCCATGAGCATTGAGACCCTCTGGGGCTCTGACCAACTCAGGCTAACATAGGGGAAACCTCTGTACAATGAAACAAATGTCTTTTTAAACCATTAACCAAACTTGACTCTATGAAAGTTCTAGGCACCAATTTTCGGGCTTCAAATAAATTGGGCAGCCAAACAAAATGGAGCTACCCATTTCAGACTTTCTAGAACGAGTACCCTCCACACGTGACGTAGGACATCTTTGTATTTACGATTTTTTGTCTGGCTGGAATTCAGGTTTGGTGTGTGTGAACGCTGAAGCAAGGGAGGAGGTGGAGGAAGATGCGTACTGCTAGCTCGTGTGATGGCCGGAAGTGAGGGGTGCCGGGAGCTCTCCCATGATGGGTGGATGCTCATCTATTCTTTGGTGAAGAGAACAGTCTTTCTTAGGGCATTTTCAGTGGCAAGTGTGGGAGGGGCTGAGAGGAACACAAAACCCATTCCACGTCCAACAAGAAGACTTCCCAAATGTGGGAGATGGAAGATTTCCTCTGCAAAGGTGAACTTGACTTCAGAGTAAAGAATCCTTCAGCCTCCTGGGCCCCTCCCAAAGCAGTAATTTCTACACAACTGCCTGAGACGTCACAGTTAACACAGATGCTAAGGTATTTATTTGAGGCGTTAACAGCCTGGGAACACATATATTTATGAACAGAGAGATGCCTGAAAAAGACTTCTTCCAAAACCATGAAACAAATGCCATCTATGGAACACTTGCTATGCAGTCAACACACACACACACACACACACACACACACACTTCCTGGAAAAATAAGATCTGGCCAAGATAGAAGCGATCAAAAAGTAATCTTAGCATGTGTCATTCCCTAAATGAAAGCGTCACACCATCTGCCCTGGCACCATCTTCCATGCTTGCGTCTTTGGCAGTTGCCTTTGGGTGGGTGATTCTCAGAGCCAGTAGAACGAGCTGGAAGAAAAATGCTGATGTGAACCCTCTTTGCAGAGTGAGTTGCGTGCTATATTTATAGTATCAACAGTTTAATTGGGAAGTTGGGCGCTAATGATATAAACACAGCTGGCATGTTTTCAATTCGCATAGACACGACTCATTCCCAGACATCACTAGCATTTGTTGGCTCAACGTAGTGCTGGGGAGCCTTCAACCACATTGTACACACACCCGACTGTGTCTCCGTGGCTGTCTCCACAGCGAGATCTAGAAGCTCTGAGGCTACGTTTTTGAGCAAATATGTGACCCAGGCGGTTCTAGAAATTCTCGGATCAAACGATCTTTCTCTGGAAAATTGTTTAACAGATACAACATCAAACATCCAAAGGACACGTTAGTTCAAAGGCTGCATACAGAGCGTTCTGGCTTTTTATAGGCCTCCCGTTAATGTAGACATGGGAGGCACGGTGCCACATCCCCAAATGGCTTTACTATCCATGACACGGGGGGAGGGGGAGAGAGGGTGCAACTTTGCCTTGCCAGAGAAAAAGCACAAAGAAGCCGGTGATGATGTTGTGGTGCTGGGGATTGAACTCAGTTCATCCATGCTAGGCAAAGCATTGTAGACCCTGGCCCTTCAACTTTACTCTTAAGTTTGCCTATTAGAAATGATCATCAAAGCATTTTTGTGCATGTGCTAACAACCGTGTGACTCATTTTCTTTTGGGGGGGGTGTGACACTTATGAAAGACTTAAAGATTATTTTCTTGCCAGAGAGACCAAAGTCTTGAGCTCTGGTTTGGGTTTTGTTTCTGTGTTTTGTTTTCTTTTTTTTTTGGGGGGGGAGACTTAAGACTGGTGCTCTACTGATTCAACCACACATCCAGTCTGGCATTTTGCTGGTTAACTGAAGAGCATCTTAGGCTTTTCTACCCGGGCTGGCTTTCGACCGTGATCCTCAGATCTTAGCCTCCTGAGGAGCTAGGATTACAGGCGGGAGCCCATAGAACACAGCAGAGGGTCTCTATCTTGATCACAAAAGCAACCTATGGCATCAAGAAAGGTATTTTGCAAACTGGAGACTTGAGAACGATTCTGTGTGTTGTAGCTCAGAGGTGCATGGGTCAGAACTCAGTTCTCTCACCTCAGACCCAACGAACATGCATGCACCCATAGGTGAAGGCAACCTAAGCACTAAGGTCCAGTAAGCATTCTAATTCAGAATTGGAACACTGCAATCCCTTGGATGGAAATCCACACCCTGCTCTCATAGGATTGTTCAATGAGAGAGGGAGGAGGAGGGGTGGAAGAAGAGAGTGGAAGAGGATGGATGTGGTCACAGTAGCATGTGTGAATACATGCAGCTAGAGCAAAGCATGCTCTTGAAATTGCTTCAGAAGTGGGCCACCGGAGGATGGGTCTCATCATCCATAGTGAGCACGAATTGAAATATCACAATGGATGCCCCTTCTATAACTAATGAATGACTCATACATACACAAACAAGTTCATTTGCTAAGGACTCAGTGCTCATGGCTGGTCCCTCGTTGAGCTGATAACAGCTCATAACAGATCTCAAGAGGCATGGGATGAACTGACCTACCCCGTAAAAGCCTTTGGAATCAATGCCTTGACTAATACAATAGACCCATTAGCTCACATCCTCACTGGTACTTTATCTAAAGGCTCTGGCTTCTGCTTTGGATAGTGTAGCTACTGAACTTCTTACCCCAGGGAATGTTCCATTATGAAAGCAAGCAAGCAAACGATGACAACAACAAAATCTACAGTGAACGACAAGATTTAATGTCAAACGTTGAGACAAGTGCATCTGAAAGAGGATGGACATGGAAGATGGAAGACGAATCACCCAGGATTCCAATCTCAATGGATTAAACAATGAACAACAATGCCAACAACAGACCATAGGCCAACCTACAGCATATACCCTGTCATCCTAGCTACCCAAAAGGCAGAGCGAAGAGGATCATGGTCCCAGGCCAGCTAGGCAAAACACAAGAGCCTATCTGAAAAACAGAAGTAAAGTAAAAAGACAATGTGAGAGGGAAATGGAGTAGCAGGCATAGAGCTCTGATTTCAATCCTCAGTACCCCTAAGATAGATAGATAGATAGATAGATAGAGGATGAATGGATAAGTAGGTAGATGGATTTATTGATGGGTTGATGATAGATAAGTGGACATATGACAAATGATAGATGATTGATAGGTAGATGACAAATAAATAGATAATATAGATAAGACCATGTCAAGCGATGTATCAATGGTTTCTGAACTTGACAGGAATACTGCAAACTCTTAGGAAATTTGAAAAAGAAGTCTGTTTGGGGGCCTTGGTTTCATTTTTGACTTCAAAATCCCCAACACCTGTATTGAACAAAGACGAAGAATGGAAAAACAATTCAGAGACCTTCGTGAGTGTTTTATTTTTCTGTAATTATCTTCAACAATGCCAAAAGGTGAGGGCAAAGACAGAAGGCGGAAGCTCACTGAGAAGAGAGAGCTCATGTCTGAAGGGTCTGGGGCAGGGCCAGTGAGGATGCAGATGCACTTCCATGCAGTAAGTATGATGACTCAAAAGAAGCAGCCAAGTGAGATTCCTGGGACTCAGGATGGGAGGCCAGTCAGGATGCTGCAAAGGCCCGTCAGAGAATTCATGCTGCTAAATGGCTTTGTGAGCAATAGTTGGCTGGGAAGCTCAGATTCTTAGGGGATAAATCATAATTCTTTCTTTCAGAATGCTGGTTGTAGGCTAAGTTAGGCCTTGGAGTGATCGTAAGTGGTCTATAAAACCATATGCACCTGGCAATTTTTATGGATTAATCTTATTGTCATACAAAGTCCTGCATACTCTGCCCTGCATACTGTGTGTGTGTGTTTGTGTGTGTGTGTGTGCGTGCGCGTGCACACGCACACACGCGCAAAAGTCCTAGAGCTTAAACTCAGGGTCTGGGTGCTGTCTCTGAGCTTTATTTGCTCAAGGCTAGCTCTCTACCACTTGAGCCATGGCTCTCCTTCTGGAGAATTGAGAGGAAAGAATCTCATGAACTTTCCTGTCCAGGCTGGCTCCAAACCATGATCCTCAGATCTCAGCCTCCTGCGTAGCTAGGATGACAGGCTTGTGAAGCCCAGCGTCACCTACTTTTTTGAATGGGCACAGATGCTGTTTGTGATGAACAGAAGTGATAGTGTGCTTGAGTGTACACCGTATCTCCTTAATTGACAGATACTAAGAGAATCTATCGTATTTTCAAATCAACACCTTATCATCTGCTTGAGAATTTTCACTTAAAAAAATAAAGTGGCTCTCTAAGGAGTTTCTGATCCATGTTTGATAAAGTGTAGTAGGGACACTTGGGTGTCTCCCTCCTCTGTCTCTTTCGTTCTGTCTTCCTATCTCTCTGTCTCTCCTCGTATGTTATCTGTTATCTGCCGTAGCTACCCCAAAAAGAAGAGAGAAGTTTAGATATTAATGTAAGCCCTTCTCTGTGATCTCCAGCAGTGAATATTCTGCATTACTTTTCTGACTTACCACGGTAGCCTCGGGTGAATTTCAAGATAACGAAGACCACCAAGCAGGAAAAGGCACCCTTCAGGGTAGAAACTAGGGTTGGCTGCATGCATGGTATCAGTGAAAGAGCGCCGAGCTGGTTATTAAGAGGATCAAGTTCAAAGTCAACATTATAGTGACACTTGATGAGAAGAGATAGACTGAATAGCAAGACATTGTCCTGACCTGACATGGCGAGAAGAATATAATTCCTCGGCTGGCCATCATTCAAACCTAGTCTCAGTGCTTTGCACACACTTAACCTTGACTCTCACTCTGAATGCTCTGCACTTTTCAAAGTCATCTTTGACCTGAAAGTGCCCGGGGGTATCTCTGTTCTGCAAGAGTTAGAGGGCTCAACTCAAGGTTATTACCAAATGAGTGAGATAAAAGTGCAGAGGCTGACCTTTTCTACAGAAATGTCAGCATGCAAGCCCGGGTATCTTCAATATTAGGAGGCTGGCTCCGAGTTTGTGTCAGATGCATACTTGATAAGCATCGTGGGCGTTAAAGAAATAAAAGGTGTCAGCTAACCCCCAAATCCCAGAGCCCAGAAGAAGCAGATGGCTCACTCATGCACTGGAGAGCCGCGCCGGGCTTCAGGAGACATGGAGAAGGCATTTATCTCCTTTCGTCACATCTGCAGCTCAGAACGGTGTCTCCAAACAGCCTGCCCTAAGTCAGATGCTAAGGATGTGCCTCCCACAGATGCTTGCTTATTAGGATCGACTAGATCTGCAGACAAAGGGACGAAAGATCTCAGAGCCCCATGATAGCTCGGGACCTGGCGTGGTGTGGAGACCAAAGAAGCAGCAGATTCCTCTCTTTCCCTGGGAGGATGGGAATGCAGATGTCTTTTGGAAGAACAAAACCAGGGTCATGCCAACCTGGGAGGAAGCAGGCTGTTGGCACCTGGGCTGTTCTGGGCTTCCGGAACGGGCCTGGGCCAGGCTGCTCCTCCGTCATGGCGTTCACATCACAGCACCTGTGTCCTGAGATGCCTCGGAACCTTCCGGCACTGACTGCAGAGTGGGGGGGGGGCAAAAATGTGCATGGCCAGAAATGCCCTCTGACCTATAAAGCAATCTGTAGAGTTTTGTTGCTGTTCTAGGGGTGCTTTGTGTTTTTCTGCTATGCTTCATGCAGAAGCAGTCTCTCACTATGGCTGTCAGACACAGTGCCTGGGAAAGAGGCTGGAGTGGAGGAATATGGAGAGGCTGAGCGAGCAACAACTCCCAGGGTGTATTTCAGCTGTGACCTGGGGAGTCCCCTCCCCACTGGTTTTGATCATCATTTGGATTTAGCAACAGGTCATCTAGGAGTTTTTTTTTGCCACTCGCCATTCAAATCAACTTCCTAGAAGATGTCCATTTGGGAACACAGAAACCCAGGAGGCCTTATTACCAGATTACCATAAAGAAGCCCTGCTGACAAAACGTCCACAGACGCGGCAGGAACATTTCACCTTTGACGACGTGGCTTCCGAGGCAGGGAGGCTCTAAGGGGAGAGGCTGTACTTACACCAAACATTTGTCGGAGGTCAGGATCTCGGAACCGGAAGGGGATGTTGGACACATGCAGCCTCTTGGGCTGAGACTTGTTTTCCGTGTTTTCGGAAGGTTGTGTCTGAGGCTGACCGTCTGTTGGTACGGCATCGTCTGTCTGCTAAAGGAACAAGAAGAAAGCAGAGAGGCTCTTAGTCCACGCCAAGATGCACCTTTGCTGCCCCGAGAAAGAGAAAATGCCTGAAGAAAGGGATAAGGGGAAGAAATGCAAGAGCCATTCCTTCCCTCACTCAACAATATTTGTTTCCCCACCTCTGCAGCATGAGTGTACAACCCGGAGCTGAGATGTCGTAGTAAACAACATAGGCAGAAATCAGTGCTCTGTAGACACACTAAAAATTCCACAGGAAAGCATGAAGAGAGGAAAGGTATGGAGGAGAAAGCAGTCATGATATTCCATGTACATCCTATGAAACCAGGAAAATGGAGGGGAAGGGAGGGCTTGGGGGAGATGGGGGTGGGGGGGAATGATCAAGGGGTAGCTTTGATCAAGATGCATTGTATTGTTGAATTTTAACCCCTCTGACAACTACTTAAAAAAGAATCAACATACAATCTAAAAACCCTACCATAAATAAATGCAGAGTTGAAAGTCAGCAATGATAAGAATTGTGAAGACCAATAAACCCAAGGAAGAGATCTAGAAGGTGCTGTGCTGGGAGGTGAAAGACTCAGCTACAAGATAGCAATGACTCGGAACTGGTGGCTCATGTCTGTAATCTTAGCAGCTCAGGGGGCTGAGATCTGAGGATCTGGTTGTCACCAGCCCTGGTAGACAAATCAGAGAGACTTCTATCTCCAATTAACAAGCCAAAAGCTGACATGGAGGAGCAATAAAGCAAAGTGAGGAATTTAGGACCTGAGTGTTAGGACCTGAGTTCAAGCCTTTGTGCACACACACACACACACACAGATTTATTAAAGTTAAACAGTACAGTTCTTAGTCAACACTGCTCAGATTCTTCAGATATGTATACATCATTACTGAGCCTGTACAAATAATAGTACTAACAACAGTTTCAAAAAAGCTCTGAAAAGGCCCTATGGGGTTCTGTAGTTCAAGGAGTCAGCTGATTGGCTTAACTTTTGGAAGGGTTTTAAACTTAGTTTCTTAATTGTGCAGATCCGTCCTGTCCACCCCTGTTGACTGCATTTGGCAGTTTAAATTTAAATGGATTAAAATTTAATTATGTGTAAAATTTGCTTATGTGCATTAGCTTGCATTTCAAGTGTGTGATAGCCACACAGTTAGTGCTTCTGTATTTGACTGCATGGATCTAGAATATTTCTATTCTCTGCAGTAAACTTCTGCTGGGCCACATTGGTGTGGCGGATTGGATGTTATTATCAGCATCTTGTACGACCCTGCCCTGTCCTCCCCCACACAGAAAGGAAGCCTTGTCACTGTAGCTGCACTGACACCAATCTCTAGCACTAGCTCTCTCTAAATAGACAGGAACAAGAGGGAAGGTCACCAACCCATAGAGGCGGCCATCTTGGAAATACTTCCTTTCTTCAGACCTTTTCTTTGTAATTCATCCACCCTGCCTCTAGGTGACAGTAGATGTGCCAGCCTGGTCAGATTCCTGCTGCTTTGAAACAAAGATGGCGTCTGTGTCCAAGCCTATCAGATTTATGAACAACAACAGCAACAAGAATCATCCTCACTTACTTATAAGCAATTTAGAAGCACATAACGGAGACCAAGCTATCAAGGCAGGCAGCCAGGTGTGAAATAATACAACCTTAGAGGAGACAGTCTTACCAAGTGAAACAAAAAAGCAACACCCCGATTACAGGGCACAATTAGCAATTTTCTCATCACCCTTTGCATGTGCCGGAAGATTTCCTTTGCGTTTTTCAACACACCCAGAATTGCATTTGGGAGTCCGGACCTCCCCCCCCAGTGGTTCACACACCCTTCTTGCAATATTAGAAACCCAGTTCTGAGGACCTCTTCAGCTTTCAAATACAATATTGCTATGACATCTCTCCTGCCATGTTTTTGCTGACACTGAGGAGTGAGCAGGAAGAAGAACCTTCTTCTAGAAGGTTCCCACTTCCCAGGTGAGTGGAAGAGGTAGCAAAAGACAGTGGCAATGCCCACAGGTAGTCTTTGTGACACCAGCAAGACAAATGAATCACAGAGGGACAAGCAGCCTCAGGTCCCAGGTAAAAAGTGCAAACTGGGTGCTCCAAGGCAAACCAGTTCTGGGCATTAGGTCTTAGGCAAAAGGCTGGGAAGGAACAGAGAAGGCTGGAGTGTGCCAAGAGAACAAAGCATGCACGAAGAGGCTGAGATGCTAGATGGCAATCCAGGGCAGTCTGTGTAGACAGCAGGGTTGACAGTCAGAGGGGACATCAGGAACTATGGGAAGGAGAATAGACTACAGAAATGTGGGTGTTGGGGACGGGAGGGCCGTGGATGCAAAACCAGAGATTGACCTTCCAAAAAGCTGTGAGGAGCCACAAGTTATGACTAGCATGGAACACAATATTACATGTCTGTTAAGTGACTGGCTGATGTGCTACATGAGTGAGTGAATGAATGAATGAATGAATGAATGGAGCCGATGAATAAAGTGAAATAGCAATCCAGCAACCTTCGATGACACTGGAGGAGCACTGTAATCCTGAGATCTAAACAGAACAGAGACTGTGTTTTCCTTCGCTGTGAGAACAGGTTATCACAGCTAAAACACACCCTGCGTTTTGACAGCATGTCACTTCTCATTGCCTCTGGTACCTGACCAGGAGGCTGTAATTTGCATAAGCAATAGCTAAGACCCTGAGCTTCCTGCTCATTTTTCTAGCCTGCGAAAAGTTGCTGCTTGAATGCAAAAAAATTAAAACGAGGCCTTCCTGATTCCAAGAAAGGGACTTAGATTTGGATTTGTGTACAACTGTGGAATGTTTCAGTTTAATAAACCTAATTAGGAATTACAGAGATTATGATTAAACATATTAAGTGATTAATAGCATTATGCCGCTCATGTGAAAATTAAAATTAATCATCTCCAGTAAAACAGGACTTTGGAGAAATCTTTGAGTTGTTTCTTCTGATATATAATGCTTAATTAATCATTCTGTAGTATGTACATTTATATACAAACACCCACAAACAACTGTTGTTATACATATATAGCTGTAAAAACACAGAACATTCTCAAACCGTTTCAGAAAGCTGAGCCTTCACATGGATAGACAAGAGGGCAAACAGCAGCCTGAATGGATTGAGAGGGATAGAAAAATGAATCTTTCAAACTAAGCATGCTTGTGCGTGAGGCTGTTTGAAGAACCAGGGTTACTGAATCACATAAGTCCTGCATATGAGTTCACCTCCACCAAGTCCTCATTTCAGGCAAGTCAGTTTACCCACTCTGAACCTCAGTTTACTTATTTGTAAAAGAACAATGATGGCAGAAATTCTATAACCTTGGGAATAGGGTCAGATGTAGCAAGAAGTTTATACTGCCCGGTGGCTACCACAGAGCCATGAACCAGAGGAGTTTAGAAGCATTAGTTCTTCTTACAAATGTCATTTCTTTCTTTTACCATTTCCCTGGGGGCTTTCTGGGAGAAAACATATTCCAAATAGACTTGTGTCTGTAAGGCCTTGGTACAGGTAGGATCTGGAATGGTCTGTTGCCGGCCTTGGTTGCTTTGAGCTGTGGTAGAACTTCGAAGAGGAAGGTTGAATGGTGGGAAGTGAGATCATTGGAAATCCTCCTCCAAAGGGTCTCCCCGGTCTTCCTTTCTCTCGTTGCTTCCTGGCCACCATGAGGTAAACAGATCTCATCATCATCTCCCAGCCACCTCTTTATAAATTAAGAATCCCAGGTTTTGTGTTAGCTTGGCAGGAAGCTAGCTGTCTCTTGTTTTTGTCTCCTGACAGATCATCATAAATTGGGGGGCTTAAAAAAAAAGAAAGCCAAAACCCAAACCAGAACTTTCTCTACTCAACAGTTATGGAGGCAAAGGTCCACGACGACCACAAAACCTGAATTGTCTTGCCAGTGACCGGAGACTACAGAAAATTCCTTACTTGCCTCTGGTAGCTGCCTCTGATGGTTCTGGGCCTCCTCTGCCTTGGCAGGAATGGCTTGTCTCTGATCTGAGTCCCTCTCTCCCTGTGACCGAATTCCTGGGGTGTGTCTGACTCAAATGTGCCTCTAGTTTCTCTTCTCCTTAGGAGACCAAGTCATTATATTTAGCGCTCATCCTAAACTCAGGATCATCTTGACTCATGACACTTAACTACATCTTCAGTGAAGTTTTTAATCAAACCAAACAGGTCACGTTCACTAGTTCACTAATGGTTCCTATGGGTTAGAACACAGACATGGTTTTGGGAACCACCCATCTAATCCTCTATAATCAAAACACCAGAAGCTCATGTGGTACCAGTTATCAAAGAGTGTCTGGCCTCCAACCCAACTGGCTTCAGGAACACAACCACTAGAAGTAGGTAAAATGTCCCACCCCGAGCTGGCCCAAGATCTTATTTGTCCACAGAAACTCCTGTAGTAAGAGTCCAGGAACACAGAGGTGACTGAATCTTCTCACCTTTCTCAGCCCAGGCTTGGTCATTTTGCCTTTCTACATTTGGCCACGAGCACAGAGTAGCTGGTAGCTCTAAGCTGGGCTAGAAAGCTCTTCCCCAGCTTCCAGAAAGAAACGTCTCTCATACTCCATATCTGTCTTTGCAGATTCACAAGGTGATCATCATTATTTTGGGCAGCGTTAATAACTATTTGCTTTTGCTCTCCAGTTCTCAGGCCCTTAGATATGAGCAGCTCTGGGATGCAGCCTTCCCATTAGGCGGGGAAGCCCATGGGGTCTCGTGGTAACGGAGGCTCCATTAACCCCAAGGGGCTCCTTCCCAGGCAGCACTGGGCAGAGATTTTCAATAAGCTCATTAAGACCCCAATGGCAGCTCCTATGCCAGCCTACTGTGATGGCCTTATTAGGAGACGGGGTGTTTGCCGCAGCATTTTTCTTAATAAACAAACTCCCCAGGGGTAGCGGCCCAGGTTATAAATGTTAAGAAAAACACCACCGGCACTTTAATCTCTTGAAGATCGCTTAGTGCTTTCACAA